TTGTCCAGCTCACCAACTTTCCACCTAGAAGCTGACAGCCTCCAGTAGTGTTTTTCCTATCAATTTTGCAACCTGCAAAATCACTATCCGAATAACCAATAAGGTCAAAACCTAAACCTTTAGGGTCCAAAGACCCATATTAGGAGTTCCCTAAATGTTGATATTATACAATATTTCAAGAACATACTAGATTCTCAAAATGTTTTGGTTAAGTCTTATAGAATGGCAAGAGATTGTTTTCAATCTAGCTTTAATGTGAAGCTAAAGTTGTGGCTTATTGGAAGACGGAAAAGGGATGGAAGAACATATAACCTACCAACTGCTTCGAAGGTTGCAGCTTTAATTGTTGAAGATGATGGTGGTACAATTGAAAAGAGAGATATCATGGTAAAACATCAAACGGGTTATCTACAACAGATAAGTGAATTACGTCCTTCTTACCTTCCTCTTCAATATCAGCTATTGTTTCCATATGGAGATGATGGTTACAAAGTTGACATTCCCCATAGAGGATAACATCTTCAAGTAAAAGTAAAAGACCAACCGTAACAATGAGAGAATTCTTCGCCTTCAAACTTCAAGTTAGGGTAAATATGTTTTCATTAATCCTCAATTCAAGAAGGCTTCTCCAACAATTTATCATTGATAGTTATACAATGATTGAAAGTGAGAGATTGCATTACATATGTAAGCAACAAAAATTTTTAAGGTGCGAAACTTATGATAATTTACGTAATGTGCAAGAGCAAGGAGAGTCAGATGCTTCAAACATTAGACAACGTGTTATAATACCTTCTTCTTTTACAAGTGGTGCTCGCTACATGATGCAAAATTATTTGGATGCAATGTCCCTTTGTAAGTGGTATGGATATCTAGATTTATTCTTAACCATGACATGTAACCCTAAATGGCCAGAAATTAAAAGGTTTCTTAAAGAGACCATGCTAAATCCAGAAGACAGGTCTGATATCTTTTGTCGTTTATTTAAGATCAAGTTTGATGCATTTATTAAAGAGTTGAAAGACAGTGCATTATTCGGTAAAGTTCAAGCAGCTATGTTGCATTTATGATGACAATTTTAACAAAAGTTTCATACTAATAGTTTATCTTTATTAATTTAAATTTTCACTTTTTTGTAGTTGTTTATACAATTGAATTTTAGAAGCCTGGCTTGTCTCATAGTCATATATGTCTATTTATGCACTCTGATTTCAAGCTACCTACTGTTGAACAAATTCATCCTATTATCTCAGCTGAGATCCCAGACAAAAACAAAGATCCAAATTTGTACTCACTTGTAAAATAGTTCATGATCCATGGTCCTTGTGATGAAGAGAACATTAACTGTCCTTGTATGATTGATAGAAAGTGTTCAAAAAACTATCAGAAAAGATTTTCTGAACACACTTTCATCGATGTTAATGGTTATCCTTTATATCGCAGACGAAATGATGGACCCCGTAATAGCAACGACCCAATCGCAAGAGCAGAGCTCTAACCCGTCAATTTAGGATCCAATTCGAGATTTTCCTTGAGAGGTATTTTGTTGAAAAGTCAGATGTTAAACTAGATAATAGAAATGTCGTTGCATATAACAAACATCTCTTGAAAAGATATCAGGCACACATTAATGTTGAGTGGTGCAATCAGGCTTCTTCTATTAAATATTTGTTCAAATATATCAAGAAAAGTCCGGATAGAGCTACTGTTGTTGTTGTAGAAAGCAGTAATGATGAAGTTACTAATAATTCTGTTGATGAAATAAAAGAAATATTATGATTGTAGATATGTATCTGCATGTGAAGCTTCATGGCGTATTTTTGGGTACGATGTTCATTACAGGACTCCTTCTGTTTTGAGACTCCATTTCCATCTTCCTAGACAACAACAAGTCGTTTTGGTGTTGAAGATGATATTGAAAATATCATAAACAGACCCTCTATGGTGTCTTTAATATTCTTAGCTTGGATGAAGTGTAATGAAATTTATCAAGAAGCACGAAAACTTACTTATGTTGAATTCCCTACAAAGTTTGTGTGGAAACTGGAAGAGCAACGTTGCGATCAAAGGAAAAAAGGCTTCTCAATTGGAAGAATTCATTCAGTTTCACCTACCTTATGAGAAACATATTAGGAATTCTTTTGAATAAAGTGAAAGGTGCTAAATTATTCGAAGGCATTCGTACAGTAAATGGAGATATATTTCCTACTTTTAGATGTGCATGTTATGCTCTTGGGCTTTTAGATGATGACAAGGAATATGTTGATGCCATTGAAGAAGCAAGTTTATCCGGATCTGGTTTTTATCTACGTTTCTTATTTGCAACCATGCTGATTTCAAATAGTCTATCTAGACCTGAGTTTGTTTGGCAAAAAACTTGGCAATACTTGGCAAATGACATTCTTTACAATCAACGAATTGCACTAAAATCTCCAGGTATGTTAATTATCTATTATAAGTATAGATTTATATAGTTATTATTTAAATACAAATTTATTGTTTTACTATTTATTAAATATTATGTTCTTTCTTAAATTGTTTTTTAGTTTTAATTTTTATGTAATGGTTGTATACATTTACATTATTGTTGGTTCCTTGAGGGTCTACAAGAATAGTAAAACAGTTTGTAGAAGGGAGGGGATGAATACAAACACAATATTTTCAAATTTAAAATATATATTGATAAAGAAGATCAATACAGATTTTACAAGATTGTTTGCGGAAAGATACGGTAATAAAAACCTATTCTAAACAATCTTTTGTTACACATGAGTTCTTAGCAAATAAGAAAAGAAATGTTGTAAAGAGAAGATCTTTTACTTAAGCTAGAAAATGCTTGAAGTAAGAATTAGGTTTAGAGAGTGAGTTGCGTGCACTCTACATGGAGAAGAAACACTTCTATTTATATCCAGTGCATTAAATGTTCATTTAATGCAATATGGTAGGGTTAGAGTGTGTGTCAAGCCTTAAGAGAAAGGCTTGTCCTTTGCCACATTGAATAGTACAAAAAGCATTATTCATGGGCAGACATCCTTACCTAAGGTTGACGAACAATAGAGTCGACTAGTTGGCTCCGTACCGTACCAACGTTTATAAGGGTATGGGTTTGTTCTTTGTGTGCATAAGGACAAGACAACAACATTCGTGCTAAGCAAGCTTCCTTTGATCGTTGAATGCTGGAATGACCTGAAGGTCTCTTCATCATTCGCTGAAGCTTGAACAGTCTTCACACATATGTAGACGGGCTTGTAATCACTGAGTACCGATTTAGATCACGTACTCGCCAGTCTCTAATCTTCAGTTTCAGTCTTCGACGTTAGCTGAAGGTTCTTTGGTGTGAGTGTTGTCTTCTTGATGTATCGATGTCTTTGATTACAATACAAGTTCTTCAGCGATCACTGAACAAACTCAGTGATGATCGCTGGAACTGAAGAAACAGAAACATAAATACAACGTTTAAGTGAAAAGAGATTATCATCAAATCACTGAAAGAGAGGATCAACAATTATATTTGTTACAAATTTATCTCTCAATGAAGAATAGCTCAATAACTTGGCATTGTTTGAAATTGAAAAGGTTTTACTTCATCACAATTCCAGCCTAAAAAAATTCACCACTATGCCTTACCCGGATAATAATTCTCTTGAATCTTCAAACAATCATTTGATTACGGAGGAGCTAGATTACAACATAGCTAATCTATGGGATGAGTTCAATCAACTTCTAGTTGCTTTAACAAATGAGCAAAGAGGTGTTTATGACGATATCATCACAGCAATAACCGAGGAGATGTGTTTTTTGTATATGGTCTTGGTGGAACAAGTGAAAATTTTCTATGGAAGACATTATCTGCATCAATAAGATCTAAATGATAAATTGTTTTAAACGTTGCTTCGAGTGGTTTTGCTTCTTTACTTCTTAGCGGAGGCTGGACAACACACTCTTGCTTTCAAATTCCTCTAATTATTAATGAAGATTCACTTTGTCACATAAAGCCAGACAGAAATATTGCAAAGTTAATAAAGAAGACTATGTTGATTATATAGGATGAGACATCAATGGTTCATAAGAAGGCATTTGAAGCATTGGATAGAAGTATGAACAATATTTTTAATAGTCGAGGCATTACTGACTCACAAATGCTTTTTGGTGGCAAAGTAGTTGTTTTTGGAGGAGATTTCAGATAAATTTTTCGGTTATTCCCATTACAAGTAGACAAGACATTTTTAATGCGCCGTTAAGTTCATCTTACATTTGGGAAAAATGCAAAGTCCTAAGATTAACTAAGAACATAAGGTTAACTGTTGACAATGAAGCTTCTGAAGTTGAACAAACAAGGGATTTTGCAAACTGGATTTTGGATTTAGGAGAAGGCAAGGTTGGTAGTGTGAATGATGGTGAGGCAGTTGTTGATATACCTCATGATCTTCTCATTACCAATTCAACGAATCCTATATTTTCATTAACTAAATATGTCTATCCTTCAATTCTTGTAAATATCAATAATTCATCTTATTTTCAGGAAAAAGCAATTCTAGCACCAAAACATGAAGTCGTTCAAGAAATAAATGATCGTTTGCTATCATTGTTCCCAGGAGACGAAAAGGAGTGCCTAAGTTCAGATAGCCTTTGTGAATCAGAGCAACTTCACGACCAGTTTCGTAAAACTTTGTACTCACCGGGTGTCTTAAATGGTCTTAAATTATCAGGCTTGTCAAACCATAAGATATTACTAAAAATTGGTGTTCCAATTATGTTACTAAAAAATATTGATCATAAATCTAGATTAAGTAATGGAACTAGACTACGGGTGTTATCTTTGGGAAATCGGGTTATAGAAGCAGAGATCATATCTAGAAGCAATATTGGAAGCTAGACATTTATTCCAAAAATGTCTTTGACACCTACAGACAAAAGGATTCCATTCAAATTTCAAAGGAGACAATTTCCAATTGTATGTTTTGCCATGATCATAAATAAAAGCCAGAGACAGTCCTTATCGAAGGTTGGTCTATTTCTAAGACAACCAATCTTCATCCATAGTCAGCTATATGTTGCTTTATCTAGAGTTAAAGACAAACAAGGTTTAAAAGTATTAATTATAGATGATGATGGTATAATTAGTAATAGAACAAAGAATGTTGTATATAAAGAAGTATTTATTAATTTATGATACGTGGTTCTTATTTTATTAATTTTTAAAGAACTTACCTTTCCACAATTTCATTTGCTATAGATTTTGTTTTACAAATTCTTAATATTTATTTATATTTTTATTAATTCTTTATAAAATGCATAGCACTTTCATTCCACGAGTTCTAGACCATCGACCTCTGATTTTGAACCTCTGGTCCATCTCTAGTCCAGGTCTTGTCCATAGTGAAGTCTGATCTTTGTGAGCGGTCTTTGAGGTTTTGATTGCACAGACAAGCATGAAGAACAACATGCAAAGCTTTGCATGGTACTTGTGGAGCCTCTGCATAGTAGTTGCAAAACCTCTGGCTTGCCTATATAGAGCTCTACATGAAGGCATTTATTGTTCGTCTTATTTGCTTTGGTCCACGTCTGATCCCCCCTCTGCAGTTCTTTGATACACGAATAAGCACTAAAGGTTTCTGTTTTGCAACATTGCACCATTTGAATCACCTGATTTTCATCATATCATCACTTTCGATGATCATTCATATATGGAAGATAAGTTTCCTGAAATCATTTAATTTTTTTAAAATACTTTGTGTAATACACGAGTTTGAACCGTGTGTATGTGTGTGTGTGTATGTATGTGTGTGTATATATATATATATATATATATATATATATATATATATATATAAGGAGTGATCATATGAAAACCGCCCTCATTTGTGTAAACCGTGCAAACCACCTTCATCTGTCGATTTCATTGTTTAATCTTATGAAATTTTTT